ATTTAGTCTTTTGAATTTTAAATTATAATTATAATCATAGCGTGTATGATTGAATTCTCCCATAAAAAACTTTTAATTATTAAGTGGAGCTCAACTAAATTAGCAAAGTGGTGTAGGGTATCATAAAATCGGCCCCGCCCGACTTTAGGACTTTCTTTACTGTTTTAATTTTGACCTGTAGAGCCACTGTTAGATCAGGAAAGTTTTAATTTTTGGTGCATTTGAAACACTAAATATAAATCTTGAAAAACAATAGGCTTTAATTCTGACCCTAATTCTATATTCCTACAAAATTCCTGAGAATCGGACGATGAAAAATATTATTGATAAAATCAACATTTTGAGTCATATAAGGAAAAATTTCATGCGATACAAAATATTTCGAAAAATATTAAAAAAAATTAAATGAAATTTTTGTTGACATATTTTAATGCAATTTTCTTAGTTTTTATCCTTTTCTGGCCAGAGGCCATTACGAATTTGTGAGAATTGTCAGCCGTTTTTGAGTTGTAAGCGGCCTAACTAACATGACCTTCATTGATATATGAGATTGTATTTATTTTGCTATATACGCGATATCTTGTATATGAGCATCAATGTAACGGTCAGAAGTGTCACTTTCGGGCATTTGTGATTTGGCCAGGATTTAAAATATTCGCGGTTTAGTGGAAATTTTCGTATTTTTTACATAATAATACTTATAGACTATTTTACCCGCTAAATATTGTCCCTAAACTCTAGCTCCCTAAATTCGTCGATTGGTCTATAATCACGACCTGTAGATCAACTTCAAAATCAGGCTTTTTTCTGCTTTTGGTCCATTGTCCCTAAACTCTAGACCCATGCTTAATTAAAAACTCTAATAATCGCGACCTGTAGATCAACTGGAAAATCAGGAAATTTTTCTGTTTTTGGTCCATTTCAACCCCAAAATATTACGCGATCATATCCAAAAATAATAGGCTTCTATTCAGACCCTAGCCCCACCTCTATGTTTAATTTCGTGCGGATCGAGTCATAGACCTGTGGAAAATGCATTGCACTTGGCTTTTTTAAATATGTTAAAAAATACCCTGTCCTAATTGAGTAATAATCAAATCAAATTAGGCTGCAATTCGGTATAATCAATTCTATGGAGAGCTAGATCTTCCGTTATTTCCTACTGTTTTTCTCTACGTTCAACAGAAAATCTGTTTTACTAGATATTCACTTAAAATTGAATTTGTGTTAGTTGGTTACAACAACACGACAGAAATCATTATTGAGTTCATTTAGTTCAAATTGAGAAGAACTCTTCTAGATTCTTTTGTATATAATTCATTTAACAACTACAACAACCAGAAAATGCCTAAAAACATTTCATAACAAAGACAAAACCATTTTACATTAAGAACACTGAAGTGTTGACCAATTACGCATAGCACCTTGATGTGGGTCAGTACCGAAAACACATACCTTCCAAACACAAAAACACACATACAACCCAATACTCTCTAGACAACATGGTTACTTGGATGTACCACCAAGTTAAAACTTGTGTAAGTTGGTTTCTAACCAAAGAAAAAACCTCCTACCTTTTACTTCTGGGTAGAAATGTAAGGGCATTACAACAAGTTGTACCAAAATCCAAGTGCCCGCTCACCATTGTACACTCACATTTCCAGTAACAGCTCTAACTAACAATACAATGTTCTAGAGGTACTTGGAATATTTAAAAGGACATGCGAATGGCAATAGAATCACCATAGTCGTCCGTAGCAACAGCTTCTTCATGCCGGCGACCAATATGTATCACCACAACGAAGTTCTCCTATATGCCGGTGAGACTAAATGTAGCATTGCAGTAAACTGCCATCATGAGTCCGACCGAATTCTCGCCTCTAGTGCAAAGTCCTCGAAATGAAGAAGAACAAAAAAAAAAAAAAACTTCAAAACAATCTGGGCAATGGCCCAACTAGAGGGAGCGGTGAAAAAGTAGCCAACGATGTATGTATGTAATATTACATGGAAAATTATCACCCTTGTATGAGTGAGCTAATGAATGTCGTTTAGGTTCGGGGGAGAAAAAACACAGCTCACAACTCATAGAAACTGTTGCTGCTAACATCAATGGGCTAGAAACGGCCTGAAGACCAACAATTTAATTGACGCATATCAGAGCGTTTCTGATGACATTGGATTCCTTACAATTGCCATTCTGGGGAGTGATGAAAACTTGTTGGAAACTTTTAACGTGTATTGTTTAGTGTCTCGGGCGCTATTGCAACGTCTTAAATAACATTATAGAATATTGTACGAGTTTAAGTTTAGTTTGACTACGTCGGGGTTTTTGTTCCGTGCTTTTTATTTATACAGAGTTCTTTGCATTTCGGTAGTTTATTCAATATCACAAGTTTCTATGAAATCATCCATGCCATTGTCAGTTTTTATGTACTCCACCATACTGTTGGGTATATTAACTTAGTTATTCCGTTTGTGATTCCTTGATCAGCGTAAAACTCTAAGTAGATTTGGCGATGTCCGTTTGTCTGTCTGTGTGTCTGTTGTAATCACGTTATCTTTAAAAAGAATTGAGATAGAAGGGGCACATGTGTATTTTGCCAGTAGGCAGGTTAAGTTCGTAAATGGGCTATGTAGCTCAATGTTTTCATGAAGGCCCCATTTAACGCTACACTCAAATATTCGGTATTCTCCTGATTTCAAAGATATTTTTACCGGAGTTATTTCAAATTCCATATTTTAAGTTCGTAATAGGTACTACAGTCTACAAGAACCAACCGCATATGCAGGTCCACATCAACGTATAGCCGCCGTATAACGATACCTCCCGTTATTCGGCATTTTGATGATTTTAGCGATATTATTAACCAATTGATTCCATTTTTGTACTTAAAGTTCGTAATAAATAGTAAAACCTGTAACAAAAAATAGTGTATGCAAGTCCACGCCTTCGTATAGCCCTTGCATAACGATACATCCCTAAATTCGATATTTTCCAATTTCGTAATTGAAGTTCGTAATGGCCACTACAGCCTATGCCAAAAATTGCTTATGCAGGAACACGTCTTCGTATAGCCCCTATATAACAGTACCTCCCTATATTCGGTATTTTGATGAATTGTTTCAAATTGGGTATTTGAAGTTCGTAATGGATATTACAGACCGAAAATTGTCTGTGCAGGTCCACGTCTTCATATTTTGATGATTTTAGCGTCATTATTCACCAGAGTTGTTTCAAATTACACATTTAGAGTTCGTAATGGGAACTACAGTTCCAGTTCCAGTTTATGCAGTTCCAGGTCTTCGTATATTAATACCTCCATATATTTAGTATTTTGAGGATTTTAGGTACAATACTCACCGAAATGATTTGAGATGTTGTATTTGAAGTTCGTAATAAATGCTACAGCCTGTGACAAAAAATTGTTTATGCAGGTCCAGGTCTTCGTATAGCTCCGATATAACGGTACCTCCCTATATACGGTATTTTGTTGATTTTAGCTATATTATTCACCGTTTATTCCAAGTTTCGAATTTGAATATGGTATTGGCTTATGACAAACAAAGCCTATATATGTTCACGTCGTAGTGACACTAATATAACGGCTATATTCGGTATTTTATTTTTTGTAAATGTCCAAATTCTTACCAAATGGTGGAAGGTATTCAAAGTTCGGCCCGACCGAACTTACTGCTTTTTAACTTGTTTTAATTGTTAATTATATATCCCACAAGATTATTAAATCATCTTCTTTAAGTTCTACTCAGGAATATTTAGCAATATCTCAATGCTCACTTACTTACCTTATGATAACGGTTTGAAAACCATATCCTTTTGTAAAGGATAGTGCATTTTCGCACATAGGTAAGACTTATTTCTAAACCAACTCCGAATCTCAAACTCAGATACCATCAATAACCTAAATATCAAACTTCAGAATTTTATAAAATTCCCTTCACCCATTACCAAATGTACTTTTCGTGCAAATACCCCCAACAGGAACTCCAATATAAAATTTGAAAATTCCAGCTTCATCCATTCAGTCTAATCCAAATTGTATTGAATTTAGTACCATTTAGTACAGTTCGCACACTTAGTACACATTTCCAAAACTACATTCATATTTAAAATTTACTTTCCAACCTTGAAATCCAACTTTTGCACTCCATCAAATTTCAGAATTCTATGTCACTTCGCTTGTCTAATGCAAAGTATTACATTTTTTGTGAAATTTAGTACTTTTCGTACGATTTTTCAAACAAAAAAAAAAAAACAAACTAACAAAAACACTTGGTCTCGTGAACAATTTCAATATTCTAGCTTCAGCCATTTCATCTAGGCTTTGATCTGGGCGTTACAATTAGGTCAGTATGTCAGTTATTTCACCTCACTTTTAATAGATCATTTATATGAATAGATGTTGTGTTTCAAAATTATTCACGAATCCCTTCCATAATTCTACAAATTCCCTTAAAGACCTAAACCTGTTGTCATAATTGTAATTTAATTTAATTTTTGTCAGCCATCAAAACCTAACTGGAACTGTGTAACAATGTTCTTTTTCCTTATGCCTTTTTATGCCATGTAAGGTCTCATGCAAATGTCATTCGCTTATCTATGTTTCCTTTCCTTGGTTTTCAGAGTTTTTTCTCTCTCTCTCTCTTTCTTCTATTTGTTGAGCTGCCATTTAGTAAAATTGTGTCTGCGTCATTATTTCATAACTGTTGGCTTAGTAGCGCGCTTATTTTCATTTTATTAAATTTTAATTGGCTTAATTGACCCCCATATTTAGAAGTACATATGTACATGTGTTTTTTTTTTTAATGTTTTGTTTGTCTAACATTTGTTCACATTAGTCAGCAGTTATCAGAATGTTCGTGACGAAGTGCTGTGGACGATTTGGAAAGATTGAGTGAATGCTATAAAAAAATTTAATTTTTTTTTCAAGTAGCAATAAGAAAATTAATGCCATGTATTAATAGAAGAATTCTTATTCTAGGTTGATTCTGTTTGCTTGGCGATAATGTGAATTGTAGAAGATCCGTTGCCCAAAATTTGATATAAATTATAATAAAAAAGGTATGTAACTGGCGCAGAAGTAAAATAATAATAATAATAATAAAATTGAAATTTTCAAAAAAAAAAAAATTAAATAAATAAATACATATATAAGGTGAGATAAAAAAAACTGCAACAAAGTCAAACGCCATAATTTTTACATTTTTTTTTAAATTTTATTGGATGGGGGCAAAAAATGTGGGAAATAGCATCAAATTTTAGAACAAGTTTACGTTTGATAGAATTGGTAACCTTTGGCACAAATTATGGTCTTCAAACGGCCAACGAAACCGTCACACCTGCCCGAATGTTGTTTCGCGGTATTTTAGCCCATTCCCAGCGAAGCGCTTGCTTGAGGTGATCGACACTATGGTATTTATACCCTTCACCACAAGGTGGTCAGGGTAATATGTTTTTGTGCATTTGTTTGTAATAGGCAAAAGGAAACGAGATAGACCCATAGTTCCTTTTGATGATCTGCATAGAATCACATTCTGAGTCGATTTATGCATGTCCGTCCGTCCGTCTGTCCATGTATTTTTGTAAACAAAGTACAGTTCGCATTTATTGCCCTATCCAGATAAAATTTTGCACAGATGATTTGTTTGGCCCAAGGACGAACCCTATTGAAATTGGAGATAATCGGTCAAAATTTAGATATAGCTCTCATATATATCTTCGTCCGACTTGCCTTTTATTGTGCACCAAACGTGTAATATCAGCCCGAATAGTATGGCATTTTGCACGTACGATCAGATTGGATCTCAAAATAAGTATGTCAAATTTGATCGAAATCGGTTCAGATATAGCTATAGCTCCCATATATATAGTTCATCCGATTTGTTATTTTTGTCCACCGCCGCCGTAATATGCACTCTGTAACAACAATATTTGGGGAAATATATCAAATACAGCTCAGAAATACATTTTCTAAATTTTATCGAGATCGATTCAGATTTGGATATAGCTCCCATATATAACTTCGTCCGATTTACCTTTTATTGTGCACCAAACGTCTAATATTTGCCCGAATTGGATGAAATTTGGCACTTACGACCAAAGAAGCTAGTATGTCAAATTTGGTGAAGATCGGTTTAGATATAGCTATAGCTCCCATATATACTGTTCATCCGATTTGTCATATTTGTTACCCACAGCCGTAATATGAACTCCTCAACAACGATATTCAGGGAAATATATCAAATACAGCTCAGAAATATCTTTGACAAATTTTATCGAGATCGGTTCTGATTTGGATATAGCTCCTATATATATTTTTATCCGATTTTAAATTGATTGTGCACCAAATGGGCAATACAAGTCCGAATTTTAAAGATACAAATGCTTCGGCATATTCAGCCCTTTGAACTTTAAATTATAATTGAAATCATGGCGTGTATGATTGAATTCTTTAATTTAATAAACTTTTAATTGTTATGCGCAGCTCTACTTAAGTGTGATGTAGGGTATCATAAAGTCGGCCCGCCTGACTTTAAGACTTTCTTTACTGGTTTTTAGCTCTCACCTTGCTTTCCAAAATACTCCAGACACAATAGTCCAACGGATTGGTATCCAGAGATTTTGGCGGGCATTGTGCGCTGGAAATGAAGCGAGGAACCTCATATTGTAACCATTCTTGGCTGACGCGTGCTAAGTGAGATGGTGCTGAGGTGCTCAAAATGTTTGCGTGTCCGAGGGCTTGAATACTCCCTCCAGAATGTTTTCGCGATAATATTCGGCATTTATTCTGATTTATTCTGATGCCACCGTCGATTAATACGAGCGTAGAGCGACCATCGGCTGTAATGGCGGCCCACACCATCACCATGGTCGGCGCTTGAGTTCTGGTGGCCAATCGAAGGTTTACATTTTCAGCTGACCCCTTTGGCAAGTAAACACAGACAACGAATGTTTCTCATCGGAGAAAACCAAAACTTTCAGTTTTTTTTCATCTTACCCTGTATATGCTGTGTTTGTGGTTGAAACCCGTTTCACAAACACTTGAATCAGAGTAGTCTAAATTTCGAGATCTTTTTTCATGCACCCGTGGCTTCCATCATTGAAAATTTGAAAATACCACGTTCCTTTGATTTTTCTTGAACTAAATATTTGAAAATTCTGCATATATGCAAACATATGTATGGAACACATGGATTGCCACTAATTTCTTATAATCTCACACGCTGAATGATAATCCGCAGAAAATTATGCGATGAGAGATAATAAAAACATATTATAATTTTAATGGCATATAATACGAAATTTATTTTCAATATTAATCCAATTGACAGTTAATGTTTACACATTTACAGCAACAAATAAATTTAATGAAGCCCATTGACATAACATATGCTTATATTAAACAGTATTGAAGAAAGAAAGGAGGAAAAAATCAATAGAACTATTCAAACAATGGCATTTAAAAAAATGTGACCACAAATGTTTATAGCTCTTTTTTGTGTGTAATGAATACTTTATGAATATGTTGCTCACAACTACAACAACAACAGTTGATAATCATTTTTATAAAATATTGAGAGATTTTCTTCAATTGAAATGAAATTACATTTGATGATGATGTGAATACTCACCACAAATGAAATGAAAACCACCATATCAAATACACATGCAGGCATACAGCAGTATTTAATACAAATTTTCACTGATACACATTTTTTGCGAAATTAAAATGTTAAAAACACCTCCCTGCAACAATGAAACCACAAATTTGTTATAGGGCAATAGGATGATATAAAAAAATCGGTGTTACACCTTCGCCCCCTCCCATTTTTTCACTTTTTTTAAGGTACGCAACTATCTGGGGAGGCCATCAGTATCGATGCAGGAAAGTACTTCGAAAAAACAAATTTGCTACATACCTTTGCGTGCATACCATGAGCTACCCTTAGTTATTCGTGCAGTAATTTTCACTTTTGTTAAAGTCAAAGTCAAAAAACATTTGCACGTTGCTGGCTGTGGATGCCCAAGCCAAAAAAAATCTATGATTTACGTGAACAATTTTAAGAAATAGTATGTGAGTCAAAAGGTATGTAACACGAAGCGAGAGATATGGTTAATTTTGTCGTGTATATTTGAGTTGACAATTTTCTAATTTAGCGGAAGAAGAATCGAACCATTGTTATCTTCTAGAATCCCCATAGTGGCCTCTTTTAAATATAAAGCAAGTAAATACGATAATTTTGTTTGTTTACAAACTGCTGGACAACGAATGTTTTCTCATCGGAGTAAACCAAATTCGGCAGTTCACCACTTTCGGCCAAGCGAAGCAACTCTTTAGCTCTTTTGAGTCTATTTTCATTCTGTTTCGGTGTAAGTTCTTGTACTTTTTTAATTTCAATGGCTTTACGCCGAGCTCATTTTTCAATATTTGTCGATAGGAATATCGACGCGGGTTTCGATCAACTCGCTTCTTTACTTTTCGAACCATTTTTACAGATGTTGCTGTTTTCTTCCGTTCACTTCCTTGGCGTCGGGCTACGCTACCAGCATCACGGTAACGAGCGATGTTACGAGATACAAAAGATTAATTCACATTTAAATGCTGGAGTAATCTAACGATAGCCACTTGTGATTTTCCAGGCAAATATAAAGAAATCACACGCTTGATTTCCATCACGAATACCTTTTTTTTGGAAAATACTCACCAAAATATTTTTATACCCTTGTAGACAATATAATGAGTCACTGGAACGAGCTGTGAACGAGTGGCTTAGAAATAACAGCAGTCTGAGGTTGGTTGCAGTTTTTTCCATCTCATCCTGTATATATAAAACTTTATATGCGTTTTATACATAACACATCATAGAATACCCCCTAAATGTCTCCTATACATTTAAGACCCTCTAAAAGTATTCTATACATAGAAACCCCTCTAGTTGTTTTCATACACAGAAGATCCTTTAGAGATCTTCTATAAATGGAAGACCCTGAAAGGTCTTCTATACGTAGAAGACCCTCTAGAGGGTCTCCATACATAGAACATGCATACATCAAAGACCATCAAGAGGGCTTCCATACCTAGGAGATATTCGATAGGTTTTCCATACATAAAATACCCTCTAGACGTCATAAAAGACCAAAGACTTCTTCTGCACATAACAATAGAGAGTACTACAGAGAGAGAGAGAGAGAGTAATATAGAGTACCCGCTAGCGATAACACTAAGATAAACCAATTTGTGGTATTTCATATGGAGAGCTCTCTAGTTTTCTACTATATACAGGGTACCCCCTAGCGATCTGTATTAGATAGAAGACCCTAAGGTAGTCACCATGCATATTAGACCTTTTATTTGTATCATGTAAATTAACATATAGAGGTCCCTATTCAGATATTTAGAGATCCCTCTACTGGTTTTCTATGCATAAAGGACACTTACATATATTTACTATTCGCTGGCTCCACCTTATTCCTTTCCCTTGGGTAACTCCCAAGACGAACAGAACAAATCTTAATAGAAGAGTTTGACTGGAGTTAGTTTTTTGTGCCAAAAATAGGAAAAATTTCAGTAGATCTTTTATCTTCCACTTTGTGCTTGTGATATGGACCTGGGTTATTTGTAGCGATCTCTAATAACTTTCCCAAAGTGTCGGCAGCGGACGCTTTAAGCCGAAGCTTCCGTGTTATATAATAATTTGACTATTTTCAAAATAAATTCATCCTCAGATCTGTGTTTCTTTTTCTCCCCCGTTTATCCCTAAAACTTCTATAATGATCCAGCTAATTATAATCCCAAGCATCAATATAAAAAGGCTTTCAGTAATGCACATCCCAAATGGTATGCCCCCCATTGAAGTCGTTGTGGTCCATAGCTTCGATAGATTCCAACAAATGTGAACATTTGGTACAGACGTCGTTCGCTGCTGGTACACCTTAAAACATTAACGTTTAACCACTACCACGTAAACCATTAAAATGTAATTATAATTACGGTTCCATTGTTCTTCTCCGGTGTGTGAATATCTTTGTTTGAGTTCCTCTTTTTTTTGCAGGCGACTT